GTTCTCACATCTTGAATTTTACCGCATCGCAATACTTCCTCAATTTTCTCTTGCGCAGTTCCATTTCTCCACACCGACTTATTTGAGCTATCCTTCTACTTACATTCCCTCATAATTTCTGTACTCTTGCTGCCTTTCCCCTTTCGGTTTTCTTTGTTTATTTCGTCTTTACACGCGTGCCTTCTCTTTTTCTAACATTCTTTCGCACGCGGTGCCCTCTCTTTTTCTAGCTCTTAACCGATCTATCGTCATCATTCAATGACGTTTCTGCCATATTTTTCCCCATAATTAGTGCTCTTGCTCAGGGTATTTTTGAGAGTTGGAAAGTGACTATTTTTCTACAATCTCCAATGTATGATCCTTTCCTACAGTCAACCACTCTCATTTCAGCATTTATCGCTGCATCCTAGTTATCGGTACTTTTTCCCTGGTCCGAGATCTAGAGAAAATTTGGAACACTTCTTTCGAAAGCTCCGCAAAATTCGGCAAATCCTCTACGTACAACTGAAGTAAGTTGATAGTAAAGAAAAAACAATATGCCAGAATTGTATAGCGATTAAGTCATGAGTAATGGTCTGTTTTTCAGCAACTGTGCAATCTTGCGGCGATACGAAAAAAACCTCTCTTGCTCCCTGCGCAAGTACTGAAGGTGCCCATTTTGAAGCTGATTCACGCTGTGCACATTACAAGCCTCTCAGAGATCCTTAGACCGCGAAATAGGCGGAAATCGAAAAATTAGGCGCAGATGAAGTACCTGGAATGCGAAAATAAACAGGTCCTGTACGAGATTAGCTTATCGAGAGGGAGGAACTACTGTAGTAGATGTTAAGCAGGCAACTGGATTCCGTTGTCTTGGCGGCCTCACATTGTCAGCAGCGTGGACTTGCCAGAAGACGAGCAGGCGCTCTCGGATCACCGCAAGTTTGCACGCTTTCAAGCTATCGGAACTTGCACAGACTTGATGACACCTTTGACACGAGCTGGGTGCGAGAAATTATGTGATAGATGTGGCTGTCTAGAAAACTTAGTTTCTGCCAACTGGACATGGTATCAGACCCAATCGCTAGCGCAAATATCTGCTATTTGCAGGTATATTAGTTTTGCTGACAAGACCTTAGCAATAGTTTATGCCTTTTTGTAGACAGACAATTGTTACGTGGGAGAATCCCAAGGACACTGTTGAGCGACTTAAGGCCGATGTCAGACTTTGCGAATCGCGCGATTCGCTAGCGTCTGCGGTCGCGTCGCGGCCAGTGAATCACTCAATTGGCTGGTACCGCAACGCGACCGGACGCTAGCGAATCGCGCGAATCGCTAGTAGCGAATCGCGCGATTCGCAAAGTCTGACATCGGTTAACCTTCGATCTACTTCCTCCCCTTCCTCATTACAGTAGATGACTTGTTGGAACGAGAACTACAGCTTGTTTTCACTCTGCATAATTTCTGAAAGAAGAAGAGTCCGTCGTTACTTGAACTGCAATAACGGTTGTAATCCATCACCCTTTAGCGTTTGAAGATTGCAGTAAAAGGACGAAAGTTTCCGGTTTTGACAATACAGGCATCGAAAAGCGGACATTACTTACGACCTTAATACATTGTAAGGGAAAATAATATTATACAGGGGGGGGGGCAATAAAAAAAAAAGACATTTTGTCTCCACTTCCAGATGGATTTAAGCACACTTTGCTCAATTCAGACCGAGGTTCCCAACTTATTATTGAAGAGCACATTTCATTCTATAAGAAAATCTTCATGTTGGCCACCCACGTGGACGGCAACAGAAGAATTTGCCCTGGAAACATGGTGCACTGGTCGAGCTCAATGGGGTCTTCGAAGGATTCTGTACCATAACGACCTTTACTGGAAAGCTCGTTTCGGGGATTTGTATAGTGGGAGCTAACGCCTCTAGAAAAGTATCCAACATTAAATCGATTCACGAAATTGCGTAAGAGCTTCAGGCTGAAGCACTTACGGTAGACCTCCTTGAGCCTGACGACGGTGACAGATGACGTCATATTCTGAAGACGGTGAGGGCAGTGAAGGAGGGCCTGCGTTCACTTATAGAGGGACACTTAGGGAATACTCTGCTGAGGAACTCCCGTCAACGACAGCAATCTCTGCGAAGAAAAAAGAGCCGAAGTCCGACATAGGCAAAATGTCTTTTTTTTTGGCCCCCTGTATAGTAATAATATATAAGTAATATAAGTAATACATAAGTGAAAATAAGTTTTCTGATTCCTTTCTTCACTACATTTGTTTTTAGTCTGCAGGAATTGCACAGTAGACTATTACCATTTCAAAAAGACGGTGTCAATTTCATGATACACAGAGAACTCCATCCCGACGTCCATATGGGGAAGTTGATGAGGTAATCAAGCACCTTCGCCTTCCTTTCGTAGATATTGTAACTACTTTTATGGTACGAGTGTTTGGCAAGTGCCTATACCATTGACGATTTCATTATTCCCATATCTTGGTCTGGTTTGTTAGACGAATTTGAGACAAGCAGTGAACAAATATATAGAGGTATAGACAACTTCTATTCGAAAATCCACCTATGCATTGTTACTAACTTTACTTTCTGCCGAAGAACTGGCCTCCCAGCACAGGCCCCTTCTAGCAGACCTGCTGGCAATTTTGGAGGAAAAAGTGGGCGGAGTTTGGGCTGTGTCGACTGCGCTCTCAGATCAGAATATCTATAGAATGAGCCGCATTGAATGGCGAGAGCTAAGCGCGAGGGTGAGGGAAGGGTATGCCCCTGAGGGGTTCGGGGTATCGAAGAAGGGGGAGGGGGGAGCAAATTTTACAAATTGGTCCAACGTGCGGTATGACCCGGCTTCTAAAATAACAATTCGTGACAAAGAACCTAGTAGTGAGAGTCCGGTGGTGGACGACGTTACACCAAACAGAGAAAGATGACCTCAGATGGAAGGTAATGGAGTCTGGTTTCTCACTTCTGGAGGGACCGCAGCGAACCTGGGGCAATGCAGCTGAGATCATCCTACGATGCGCCAAGGAAGTACTGGGAGAGACGCGAGGTGGATTCAGAGGAGACAAGGCGGCGTGGTTCTGGAACGAGGAGGTCCAGCGAGTCGTGAAACAGAAGAAGGAAGCATACAAGCGCTGGCAGAAGACCCGGTAGCCCCGAGGACCTCGCTGTCTACAAAACGCTGCAGGAGGCTTCGGAAGGGTCGTCACCAGGCGAGAACGTGGAGAGTGAACCTAGCATACGCGAGAGTTGGAAGCCGAAACGCAGAGAGATACGTTCGTTTTCAGGGTGGCCGCCAATAGGACTACTTAAAGATATCAGAGAGCGGTGGAAGCAGAGGAGAGCAGCAACGGCGGCCATCCTGGGGCAAGCCAGCGAAGTCGAAAGAGGTGGAGAGTACTTTTAGAGAGGCTTTTGAACGAGTTCCTCACAAGAACAACTCACGGGCAGGAGCCACAGCTGGTCCCAATCGCACTCTGGAACAGAGGATGAGGTTCGCGTGTGGAGTTGGGAGATGAAGGTTGGAAAGGCGGTTGCTGGTCCGGATGGAGTACCCATAGAGGCTTGGAAGCCCTTGAGAGCACGGGGTGAGTGGCTCACCCGCTTCCTGAACACGGTAACTGCCGAAGGGATGCCGGATGCCTGGAGAACAAGCACTATCGTCCCCATCTTCAAGCAGAAGGGTGACGCGATGGACTGCTCCAACTACCGCGGATCAAGTTGACTGCGCATACATGAAGCTGTACGAGCGACTGGTCGACTCGAAACTGCGGGAGCTGGTCCGATCTCTCAGGAACAGGAAACAGTTTAGGAAGGTTTTTCGAAAGGTTTTTACGGATGCCATCTTTATCTCAGGGCAAGTGATGGAGAAGTTTTAAGAAAAGCGCCGACCCTGCTGCCTAGCCTTCTTCGACATGGAGAAGGCTTCGAACGGCTACCGCGAGCGAGTACTATGGAGGGAATCCTCAGAAGGATTTTGGAATCTGCTAGACAGCCTGGTCTCTTCGCGCGAAGAGGGCATGTGGCCATGGGGCTATAGGCGGCACGTATACCCCCCACTTAGACCTAATGGAAGGAGGTGGGACATACACTGTCTGGTTGCACCCAAGGCATCATCTCTGACCATCGAGAATCCCTTCTATTTCTTCCTGAAACTAGAAGTGCCTGATGAAAGGGCTCATGGAAAAAGGACCACTGACAGGACACAATTCTCTACCAGCGAGCGACATCTGCCTTGATAAACGATGGTTAGCAAGAGAGAACTTCAAGCAAGGCGGCACAGAATGGGACAGAAAGTCTTGGACAGAACGTGGGGTCCGGCCCTGGGAATAGTAAGAGACAAGTTCTGAACACCGAAGAGGGTTACGAGAACGCTCGTAGCACGCACATGGTAAGACATGAAAAGGGTGGATGAGCTTCCGTACTGTTGGTAGCGATCTGGCAGCCGACGGTAGTGTGGATCAGGCGGTGAGGCTCGGGTCAACGCTGCATGGATGAAATGGAGGGAGTCCACTGGAATCCTCTGCGATCGAAGGTTCTCCAGTGCGCTCAAAGGGAAGGTGTACCGGACAGTGGTAAGGCCGGCAATGCATTTACTGGCAGCAGTGCGGGGGGCAGTCTAGAACCAAGAATCACTAGATGCAGTCGCATTGCTGACGAGAATGAGATTGCTGAAAGGCGCTTGCCGACTGGACGCACTGCTGGACAGTGTTAGAAAGAGAGGATGTATAGAGCGGGTAATGGCAGACTGCCCCTGTCCAGCTGAAGGTACGGGAACAGCGTCTGCGATGGTATGGGCATGTGCTAAGGAGGCCACAGGATCATCCGATAAGAACAGCGATGGACTTCGAAGTGCAAGGCAAGCGACCGCGAGGAGCCCCAAAGAAGAGGTGGAGAGATGTCATCAAGAAGGACCTAAGTGAGGCCACGTTCACGGTAGAAGATGTCTGGACAGAGCAAGTACGCTAGGGAGAAGAAGAAGAAGACCTACTTTATACATTATAGCCTAGTCATGGTTTGGGTATAACGACCATCAATTTCTGTTAGAAGATTTTTATTGAAATCAAGTCAATGCAATTCATGCAGGTGGTATTCTTGCTGATGAGATGGGTCTCGGAAAAACTGTTGAGTTGTTGGCTTTGATTCTATTCGCACACACCGGACAATACACCACAGCTTGATCCTCACGCTTTGAGAACGAAGAGGACCAAGAAAGGAACGAGCGCATTGGCTTCAATCGTATAACTTCGTTCACTAGTGAGTAATAGGTTCAGTAAGTAGTAGACGCAATGAATGGGTGGACTTCCGGTCAAACTTTTCTAACTTCTTCAGAACTCAAGTTAGTGCCGATTGACCGCCGAAGTTATACGAGCGAAATGCGTGTGTGAATTTCATTCATTCTTTCGACAATTGTTGCAGCGGCGGAGGCGGAGGAACTGGTCGGTTTCGTTTCTGTTAATCCTAAGCCATCCATTTCATTTTTGGTCAACTTTAGGGCCCTCCAAGAAAACGCTTCTGTGACGGTAAGGCGATTGTCCAGAAAGTGTCTAGTCAGGGCATTGTCTGTGAGGTTTGCACTGTGGAATTTCAAAAATCTGCGGTAAGACAATGGTGTAGTTCTAAATAAAGTAAGACATGCTAGAGTGCTATCCACAAACACTATTTTTCGTTTCACCTTTTCTCGTCGCCTCATTTGCTTACTGTTTTGCCGCTTTTGCCGTTTCAGCAGGAACGGAACATTCGTGAATTACATTGTTTTTCTTTTCAAGAGTCATTTACTGTCTCTCAAAATAAATCGTTTAAGGTTCACTGGTCATCACAACTTGATGCTCTGCCGGTACGCTTTATTTGTCCGGTGTGCATAGCAGATAGGGTAAGCTTAGAACATTTAAAATTTCCCAAAAAAATTTCCGTCACGAAGAAAGCTCCCTCTATTCCTTTAATTATAGGGCATGATTTTCGACATCTCCACAACATTAATTGTTGTTCCAGAAGCCCTACTTCATCAGTGGTTTGAGGAAATTCGTCGTCATTGTAGGAAACGGGTTGTTGTCGATGTTAGTTATTTGGAATTTTGTTCTCACTTTCTAGCAATTTATGGCGAAGTTAGGCAGTGCAAAGCAACAGTCCCAGCAGGGTTTTTACCTTCGACACTAATGGTGTGGAACGATGCGCTAGCCCTAGTCAAGAACATAAGAAGTGTGACTGAACAAAAAACTCACCTTGGAAAGCCGCTAGAAAGGGAGCTGAACGGCTTCGAAGTGGGCGTGGTTGGAATCGGCCGAGGGGACTGCACAACCACGCCCACTTCGAAGCTGTTCAGCTCCCTTTCTAGCGGCTTTCCAAGGTGAGTTTTTGTTCAGTCACACTTCTTATGTTCTTGACTAGGGCTATCGTTTCCCATTATGTAAGGAGAAAGCCCTGCTGGGACTGTTGCTTTAAGAGGAATTGTTTTTTGGGCCTCGAATCCCCGTTTGGTTAACGAAGCGTTCCATAACTCCGTTGCTGGTTTTGCAAATTATTGCATCACGAGCTCGATTATCGCAAAATCTCATGGGCCTTGGCGTGAGGTTACGAGAAGAACTGGTTCAAAAAGGGCTGTCGTGGATAGTCGTCTTAGTAAAGTGAACAAGAGGGGAAGGAGATGTTTGTTAAAAGTGTTGTTCGTGTGGACGTTTCTGAACGTACCTTGCTTTACGGAATGAACGGAAACATGTGCCAAAGCGCTAGAAATCTGGAGGTTAAAGTTTTTGTCACGAGTGGGCGTTAATTTCACTTTTGATTTGGACTATTTGCTGTTCTTGTTGTTTGAAAATCGCCCGATTGTTTGAATTTAATCCTTGCCCAGAACTTTTCAATACTCTACACCATTTGACTAGTATTTAGGTCTATTATGGTGTTGCAACGGATGGTTATAAACACCCTGCTTACTTAAATACGTGTGATATCTTGTTGTGTACGTACGAAACATTCCAGAAGGAAATCTACTACAACTTCATCACTAAGTTTGTGGATGATTATGATTGGTTTCTGCTCCGTTTTTAAGACTTACACTTCATGTTTCTGTTCTAATCTTGTACACGCGGTCCTGGAAAACGCAATATTCAAGTAGCGGGAGGACCCAAAATTTTCCGAGTCCTTTATTAGCAGTTAATTTCTGGCGTGTGAGTGTATGAATTTGATTTGAACTGTTTTTCTATATTTAATTGTATCTTATTGGTGTTAGATATGCTTGGATGAGTCGCAGCTTGTTGCAGCAAGGTGAAAGCGGCTGCAAAAATGTGCTCCATGCTGAAGTCTCGTTATCGGTGGTGTGTCACTGGAACACCGTTGTCGAATTCTGTGAATGGTGAGTTCACTTTACGGTGACTCACGCAAAGAAACTTATGTTATGATACGAAAGGCCTGAAAAAAGATTTCAGAGCATTTCGCCTCGATTTAAGCATTCATAATTAGTCCTAACCAAAATTCTTATTCGAGGCATGCCTCGCTCAAACGATCGAACACCTGCTAGAGAATTGGATTCATTGCATTTTGTATGGATCCACGTGCATCCACGGCTTTGACGTCAACTCAGCTCGGCTCAGTAGTTGGTTGAGATCTTCTCTCACCACACCCCAGACGCATCCACAGCCACCTATCACCAATTCCCGATAGTGTAGAGCAAGAAGAGAAATTACTTAGCAGTCCAATTATGTGCGCAGTTCCAAATGAAGAACGAGAAATACTCGGTTAAAAAGTGTTAAATATAAATGTGTAGAGAAGACAGTTCGAGATTGCTAATGTTCAAAGGAGAGAATTCCACATTAAGGACGAAGGTCAAGGAAGGTGAAGCTTAACTAGTGCAGAGACCTTAAAGCAAGCGCAGTCCCAGCAGGGTGGGCGTGGTCGGAAACGACTGCAATCCCCTCGGCCGATTCCGACCACGCCCACTTCAGCTCCCTCCCCTAGCGGCTTTCCAAGGTGAGTTTTTGTTCAATCACACTTCTTACGTTCTTGACTAGGGGCCTGAACAGCTCCGAAGTGGGAATCGGCCGAGGGGATTCACAACGCATTTCCGACCAACGCCCCCCCTTACTGACATTTTGTTTTACGGGATGCGGACCGACAGCCGATTCGCGTCCTTAATAGCATCTAAAGCATCTCGCCACAACGGCGCTGGCTGGTGCGCGGATACACGCCCCCCTCCTTCGCTGTCCTGAGCCTCAAGTTGTTTAGCATAGAAAGCGCCAGCGTTGAAGAGTGCAGCACCGGAGGGCCTTGGTTTTCTTTCAGCACTGACCATCTTTTAGCTTCATTTCCGATGGACTCATTTTATCGTAAATTCCGCTTCTAATGCAAGAGTCCAGGCCGAAAGAATCCCACTGTGCTAAAAACCTTGTAATTAGGTATGTGTAACGGGAACAATTAGACGGTTATCTCATGAATGTTACTAGTTCGCGTTGTGTTTAGTACGATACGACATAAGGTGTATAGCGGTCTGCTGATCTTCTATTAGTATCTGGTCTTTAATCTAAAGAAAGAAGATTCTCTCAAAAATTAATTTCCTGAAAAAATTTTAAAATAAAAATTTTCAAATGACCTTCCAGAGATGGATTTCGCGATTCGAGTGTATCTCACTAGAATCATGGATTACATCGCATGTTGGTCATCTGGTTCAAGTTGTGATAGAAATAAATCATGAGGTTCAAGCAATACCGAAAAACAGCCCGTTGATTGTTCACAACTGACATCGCGCACTCTCATCGGTGCTCGCCCGTCCAACGCTTACCGCTTCTCGATCTGCCTGAATGCCAAGGTCAGCCGCTATGGTTAGGGCACGGCGTACCCACAAGGCCGCATGCGCCGCGGGGAAAGGTCATGCAAAATTGCCGGTAGCTCATATCTTTTGCTGCTATTGCGCTATCGGTCCGCACTTACCAGGAAGGTCTTTCAGGACATGGAGCCCTTTTTGAAAACGGTTTTTTGCATGATAAAGGGGCACATGCATGAAGTACAAAACTAGGCTCCATTTTTTCTGAGCGGCCCTCTGGATGCCAAAAAAGGAGTGAAAAAAATTTCTTCAGAAATCGGAGTTTTCACACCTTCAACGTGGTTTATATCACTCGGTATGTTAAGTGGACGCACAATAGAAGGTTTTCTTCACCTGAACGTTGAAAACAGCGTGGAATAAAGCCAATACCAAAAATTGTATATAATAAGTGCTCAAAAGCACAAGGAAGTTTCATCAGAGTCGTTGACATTCATCGTACAGCGGTGGTCGGATGGTCGAGTGGATAGCGTGATGGACTCTGGTTGGCACGGTTTGTTCGAAGTTGTTGGTTCGGTTCCCCTCCACGCTCGGACTTTTGCATTTTTCCGATTATCACTTTTTTGCATTTGCATGTGCTTGCGCGTGAACTTAAAGCCTATAGGTGTCATTTCCAAGAACTTTCTCCCACAATTCTGCGATATTTCGTAGTACCATGTTTTTTCAGTTGTGTACGAAATTCCGTTTACAAGCAATAAATAACTAGCAGTTATGGTAAAACTCAATGAAGCATCTGAATCACAGGCGCGGATCACACCAACTGCATCTAACGAACGCCAGAAAAGTGAAGTTGCCATTTTCTTCGCAAGGAACACCCACTCCATTTCTCTTGAAGGCAGATGGCCGGCGTTGAGAAACGTCCAGGATGCTCGTCGACGTATGCCAGTGCCCATCCAGGCATACGCCATGCATCGACGAGATCGAGGGGTGATGCCAGATTGCCCCATGGGCAGGAACTGCGGTGGAAGTGTAACTATCAACCAAACGTGCCGCTTGCTATCATCTCGAAGCTGTCTCCAAGTGGGAAGCGTGCATGCCGTACTGACTATGGGCTAACCCATGGCCCAATTTTTGAATTCGGGCCGAAATCTTGATCTTCTCTAAAACTGCGGCTATAAGGGTAATTATAGGCGCTGATTACGAATCTGACGTCCATTTTTGATGGAGGCGCGATATTGTGCCATTTTAGCCTCCTCGGGCACCAACTCGGCGCCGCTTTAACGCCATACAATTTTCGCCCCAATTCTGGGCAGAAAGCTAATCAGAAAGGTTGATGATGACCCTGATTGTAAGAACAGTACCTATTTTTATCGGCGGTAACATTTGGAGTCATTTAACATGCGCTAACATGAAATGCAAAATTTTGTCATCAGCCGGGACCGATCCCTCGACCAATTTTTCATACCTTTTTTGGCATTCACAGGGCCGCTCAGAAAAAATGGAGCCTAGTTTTGTACTCCATGCATGTGCCCCTTTATCATGCAAAAAACCGTTTTCAAAAAGGGCTCCATGTCCTGAAAGACCTTCCTGGTAAGGTGATCTCCACCTGTCTTCGCACTAGCCACGTTTTCCTTCTTCGACGCTTGACCTTACCATGGGATCCTCCTTTGAGGTAAGCGTACCAGAAAACCCAAGCACGATCACCGTTTGGCACTTCTGTGTTGCAATTATGGCGCCTTGCAGCGCGCCGTTCAATTGTTTTTATCCATGCCATGACTGTGAAGTCGAGGTGCCAAGGCCCTGATAACGTGGTGTTATCTATGTGTGAGGCATACTGTAAAAAACTGTAAAGTGATGATTTTTTTAAATGAAGTATGACTTCAGATCTCTATGGACTTCATGCATTTTCTTGTCTTCCGTGCCAGTGTCGACCTGCAGTGTGGACCAGTATTACTCTCTCCAATAATCCATGGCTCAATCACACTGAGCACGCACTGCTGATTTCCCTAATGAGCCAAATAATGTGGAGGAATGCAAAAAAGGATGTTGCAGACCAGGTGGGTTATTTGAATGTCACGATTTCCTTCGAATTCTTTTACTTGTGGAACATTTTTTCAGCTGGAAACTGTTACTCGCAAGAATAATCTCGTGGAGCTGTCGTTTTCACCGATTGAGGAACGACTTTACTTCGCGAGAATCGAAGAGTCCAAAAAGAAAATGGGCGAAATTTTGTACGATTCCTGTGCGAAGTATTTGCCCACTACACAATTATCCAAGCTTCCATCAGGCTTAGTACATGCAATATTCTCTGTAATTAACGACGTTAGAGCATCAATTCTGGCAGGTATGAGTGCTTTTTCTCTGGAAATGGCTCAGGAACATGTCCATTGCTTATCCATACAGGAACAACTGAAACAAAGCATCCGCTTTCTCGCTTCAGCGGTGATTGACAAGACGGTTTTTCAGGACGAATCGCAATTCTTCGAAAATGCTTTCTTGCATTATTGGTATGGGGGGCCGGCACTCCAGGAACTTTATGGACTAACAAATCCATGTGCCGTTTTGCCAAGCAGTTTTTAGTAGTTCGATAGAGTCTTGAATGTTGCTTAGAATTACCAATTCAGCCCCAAGAAGGGCAAACTGCTACGCGAACTTGTCTAGGATTGTGAGCGATCAAGGTTGGCTGTTACTGCGACGTTGATATAACGATATTTGACAAAAGCTAGTGGCAGCGAACTCTGATGGCCCTGATTAGGAAGATGACATCTATTTTTGGCGCAGACGCCAGCGGCGCACCACAATCTGGAAGCGCCAGCCTAGAATGTAAAATTTTGTCACCATGAGGAACTAGAATTGGACCGATTTGATCACTAACAACTTCCTTGACAAGTTTGGGTAGCAGTTTTGGGCACTGTCAGAAAATGCTCCTGGCATTCATCATTTTATTTACCAAATAGGCTTTCAAAAACTTCAGAATTCAAACTGAAGTTGAGCGTGCGGCGCACTCCATAATGAGTGGTTCGACTTGAGCGTTAAGGGCAAATTTTTGGATTGAAAGCATGTTTGTTGTGCTTTTAAGTGAAAGTGGATATGTGATGTGTAAAATCGGTAACGAAAAACGTAAAGAAACCGTCCACAAGGACCGTAATGAAGTTCCCTCCTCCTACCTAGTGGCCAAGCGACGACGATAACACTCGATTTGCAGGTGCAGTTTAGCTGGTAATGGGATTGCCGATACGCTGCCGAGGTCTTAGCGCTCATCGGCTTTATCGGATCATCCAATGTTGTGTACTAT